AAACAAAGAAAAGTGGATGCTGCCACTGCTAGGTTTATCAATAATCTGTGGCTTGTGTTCTTGTTTAGATGGACATTTTTGCCACTTTGGCTCAAGAGGTATGGAGAGGCACTTAGTTCGCTATTGTCAAAGAGTGGTTTTGCCCTTATCTTACAAACCTTGCAAATTTTTTGGATATGCCTACATTGATTATTTTAAGTCTCATTTACAATTCTAGAAATTATCCTCTATGGTTCCTATTGTTGAAATTGGCCTTTTTGATCACAATATGGATACACAAGATTGTTGTGTGTAATACTCTTGATCAAATAGAATTTACTAGCTTGCTAGGTGATATTCTCTCTACCTTGATGTCATGCCCAATGATGACCCCTCTCCCTCAATCATAAAACCCCAGTAAGGTTGGTATGAATCATTTGATTGAATCTTCTACTAACATCCATTCTGAAATTCTACTCATCATAAGAGAGTGAGAGATAAACTCAATAACTTGAACGATTGAAATAAATCTTAGAGATCCATTAATATAGTATAATTTCACTGCACGGAAGCATCCAAAATATTTATCTATAGATGTTTTCATAAACATCAACGCTTATATATATAACATCAAAATTTTATTGTATACTGTACGTGATCATGCTTTGTATCTTAAATCAAAATTATACATAAAGAAATTGGATAGTCAATTCAAAACTTGATTTTACTCAAGCTCAACCTTATCTTATCATCTCCCTAAAACTATAGCCAGAGTAATAATTGGTGAGTTATAAAGCTCACCAAAATAAATAACTCTAATATATGATTCAAATATTCAATAAAAGTTAATAACATAGTGATGGGGACATCGGAACTTCAAAAGTCTATCAGAGACGTGGTCGTCGATCTACGGCCACGATCTAGTTGATGTATTTTTGAGTCGTATTATGTATTTGTCTTTTATTATGTTATGTTTGTATTTGCTTTTATTATTTTCCTCTTTTACCCCCTACTTATGGGAGGTCATGTGTAAGCCCAAAGGGCATTGTCGTCTTTTTTTTGAGTAATTTGTACGAGGCCATATATAGCCATTATGTTCTCTTTTCATGCTTAATGAATGAATGATAAAATTTTCCTCGTGTTTTGAGTTCTTGTGAGAGCTTGAGAGAGATTGGAGAGAGATCCCTGGGAGAGGGAATTAGATCACCCACCTATCTTGGAAGAGTCCAGATTCAGGGTTCGTTTTTTTTTTTGTAATTCTTTTATGTTTCTTCTTCCCTTCCTTACCACCCATGGTTTCACCTTCATAACCCCACCACCGGCCACCCAAAGGTCCACCATCCCCACCGTCGGCCACCCTCCCCACCACCACCACGAACTGCCGACCATCCCTTCCCTATCAAGCCGCTGTCCCCCCATCTTTCCCTTTTCAAGATTATTTCCTAAATCTCCCATTTCCTTATTTAACCCAATCTATCTTTGGAAAGAATTTGAATTTAAAAGAAGTCAAATTTATTTCCCAAATCTTTCCTATTTCCTTAATCTTATTTTTGGAAAGGTCCTTAATTAAATCAATTAATTCAAATATGAATTAATTGATTAGAATCCTTTTTATTTCATTAATCCTATTTTTGGAAAGGTCATTAATCAAATCAATTAGTTCAAATATGAATTAATTGAGTAGTTAATACCTTAAATACAAATACATTGAATCCAGACACAAGCCCCCCTCGCTCTCTCTTGGCCGAACTCCCCCCCCCCTTGCCCACCTAATTAAATTCTTTCCTAAAAGCTACCATCTCCTTTAGGAATTAATTTAAATGCACCCCTCTCTCCTACCCGCCGCCCCTCTCTCTCCCTAATCTCCCTCCCCACTAATTCTTTTCTCCTTTTGGAATTAAATTCAAATTCCAAAATCCCTCCAAGGTAAAATATGAAATTAATTTCAGATTTTAAGTTCTTCCTCCCAACACCTAAACCTAATTCCCACATGTGGTTTATCTTCTCTTAGTCGAACCATCTTCTCCTTCCTCCTTTCCTCAAGAATAGGAAAGCCCACCCCCCTTTTTCTCTATTTAAAATCTTGAGACAACCTCTCTCTCTCTCTCTCTAGAGAAGTCTTCAAGGGAAGCAAACCACGATCTTTGTCCACACACCAACACTTCGACACGAATGAATGGCCGATCCGGAGCTTGACTACGGGTTCGCTTACGACCAGCAAGTGAACGTCAACATCCTCCACTGCCCCTTCTTCGACTTTAACCCGGAAGTCGATAACTCCATTGAAGAGTACGTGGACCGCATCATCTTCAATCTTTCGGAGGCCATCGACGAGCAACTTTCCAATGTCCAGTGACAAATTGTTTCGCGACAACAACAAGGGTGAATTTCTTTTCTGTTCATTTATCTTTCTAATATGCTAACCTTGTAGGTGATGATTTAATTGCAAAGTTTTCGTGCTTCGTCCTCTGCCTCCGCTTAGTAAATGTAGGATTTGAGTGTACTTTCTATGTTGCTTATCTCGATCCTGCATCACATGGTATGTTGATCATAAGTTGGACAAATAAATTAATAATATCACGATCATATCTAGTCTAGTGCATTAAATTGAGTTGTAATAAGCAGAAATTTAGCCCACGAATAAATACCCATTTATTCTAATGCCTGCCTACATCATTTTGGATATGTTTGATTGCCTGAAAAAGGAATGCATTATAAAAGAAATACTTTGGAGTTGTTTGGATGGTTGTAAAAGGAATGCATGAGATTACTTTTTTTTTGTTTGATTTGAACTTTGAAGTAAAGTTAATGCAATGTAAAGTGCGAAAAGGTAGTGGCCAGTGGCCGAGATTGGCAGTGATGGTCGGCTTCTGGCGGTGGTGGCTGGTGGCGATGGGTGGAAGACAAAGGCGATGGTCGGCGGTGAATGTGGTGGTGGACGGTGGCGGGCGGCGATAATTGCAATGAATTTTCGGTGTACTTGGAACTTGCTCAAAACGAAGGAATTCCAATTCCACTAAAAATGAACTAGATGATGTAGTCTAAATGCTCCAAAATTTTACACTACATTTGTTTTACTTGAAACCAAATGCTGATATTTTCAAAACCCCTGCATTTGGAATACGTTACACTCTCTTTGTAGGCAACCAAATATCCCCTTAATGCTCATTCTTGTACTCATATTCATGCGTAATATATATTTAATAAATATCCATTTAATGTATATTCATGTAGGGTTTGTCTCGCATTAAATTAGGAAGACTAAACCCACCCTAGTTCTATGGTAATCACATCACATTCTTTTTTTTAACGGCACTAAATCTAATGAAGCTTCTGCATATAATTCATAGAATTCAATTGCACTGGTACCATTTTTACTATGCCCCACGACAACTCTTGTTGGCGTACAATATACATAATAGAGCAGGGACGACACAATTGATTGAATTTACCACCAACACCCCTTTATGGAACACCCACTAGAAAAGAGCGAGTGATAACTCAATCGCTTGAATGTCCCAAATAAATTTAACCAAACAATTTATAATTCATAGAGTTCTAGTAATTTAACATCAATTCCATTGTAGTAAGCGTCCCAAAATATTTCATTCAATCATCTATTGAACTTCTAATGAACATTAAAATTTATATACATAATAGAGAAATTTTATCATATACATTACCCTAATCATGCTTCATATCTTACAGCAATATTAAACATTAAAATATATGATAGCCATTTCAAAACTTGATCCTCACTCAAGCTCAATCATGTCTTGAAACAATAGCCAGAGCAGTATCTGATGAGTTAAAGTGTACTATGATAAAAAGCTTTAACAAAATATTCAAATATTCAAGGGAAGGAAATTATATTGTATGTTAATCGTCAGTTGAATATACAAATTAAATTCATCATCATTTTCCGCTCTATTGCATTACATATAATCATTGTAAAGAGAAATTTCTTGAATAATTACATAGCATATAGTAAGTGAGGTTATCTTCTTGAGTAAAATCTTTACAAGAAATATTAAGTGTTCAATTCTAATTGCACTATATTTGTCAAGAATACAGGTGTTAACATATTAGTTTAAAACTTTAAATAAACATATTATTCATTTGCTTATTTAACATAGAATATTTTATTATAGCATTAGAATATTGTTAGACTAGTCCAGCCGGTAGGCGGAACTATCTGCCTGTTGCGTAGGCCGATCGGGCTGCCAAATCCAAGGGAACGTTTTTGGAAAGATTTGTGAGGGAATTGGGAGGGAAATTGAAGGCAGGGATTGTTTAGGGATTTCCTTTTGATTTGTATGCATTAAATAGTTTGTTTTCCTAGGACTAGGGCATCTTGAATTTGGCTGAATTTGGGATCTCTTAGATTTAGGTTTCCTTTGGGCTCTAGCGGCGTCTAGAGAATTTGGGAGAGATCTATCCTCCTATCTTGCTATTTTCTTCCATATATTTGATTATTGCAATAAAAATTATTGTTTTTTCTGGTTTTCATTGGAGTTTGGAAGCATTTTCTCGCTCTTTCCCCAATATTGATAGGAAATACTTGAGATCTACCAGCGTTTCCTATCAAATATGTCATATATATTTGTCTAGGTTCATTGGCCATTATATGGTAGTTGATTTTACTTGACCCACACCGTATGTAGTAGGGTTTGAATCCAGCCCATCGTCTACATTAATAGATCCCATGTGATATTCATCATTATTGTTTTCAAACTTTTTGAGGTCTCTCTTTTGCCTCCACAAGGGCTTACCTTTGTCGGCTGACATATATAGTTCATTATAAACATTTAATTGCTAACCTATTGCATTAAGTTTTACTTAACCTGATTATTGAATTAAGTTTCTCAATGAAATTGATTTATAGAGAGTTATTTTTCACATATAAACAAACCCTCGTAGTAGGATAAAGGCTTGATGTTGTTGTTGTTGTATATAAACAAACCCATTTTGTATTAAAAGCATCTAAGTGGAGAAGTCTCATTTTCTACCTATTATTGCAGTTTTGCAGTTTAAAAAGGATGGCACATATCTTTATGACCTTGGTAGCACACATGGAACTTCTGTTAACAAGAACCAGGTAATACATTTGATCAGCTCTGCTACTAAATATTGTTTGGATACAATGTTGCTCTGATGATCTGTAGAAACTAATGCTTCCTCACCCATTATTTGGAACTGTCTTGTTTCCCATTTTAAATGCATGTGATAATTCTCTTCCTACCTTTTGGCAATTATATGCGAGAGAGTTCATGTGCGGCAGCAATAAAGGAAACATATATATCCTTTATAGTTTATACCTGTTTACTGTTTTTGTTTACTTAAAATAAATCCAAGGGTTAATTTTTAACCTTCATATTATAAAATTGAGAACCAACATATAAACTTTTCCGTGGTTGCTGATATTGGTTACTGTACCTATGTTGGTTTTTCATTTGTTAGGTCAAGGGAAAGGTCTACACGGAAATTCATGTGGGTGATGTACTTCGATTTGGCCAGTAAGTAGATTAGTATTTAAAATATGATTGATGTATGGATGGATCTCTTGATTCTTTATGTTTTATAAACCCACTTCCATCACCATATTTCCAAACAATAGTGCTTGTTTTTATTTGCAGTAATTTTTTTGTCTTACCAGTAATCAACTTGAATGAAATTCTCTCTAATGATTGTGCTAATAATTCTTCTTTATTATTATCATGTGCTAGATGCGCCTCATGATTCAAGAAGGATACGCCTTTGGTTGAGTGTGATCTTTGTTTTCAAGTAAGAAATGATGCCAGAGTAAAAAATGCTTTGTTTTAGCCAGACTAAGAGGGGTCTTTTTGAGGCCCCTTGGACTTCCCGATCCTTGAGCTAGGATCTTGAAAATTGCTGAATTGAGGCTAAGTTTAGAATGAGGAAAATGCAAGAAAATTTCACTTTGATATATCTTGAATAGAAAATGGCACATTTGACTTTTAAAATATGGTTGCTGAAGATGTTGTTCTACTTATCGTTGTCATATTGGCCCATTTGATCAATAAAGCCTCCAAAAGTTTTTAGGAATAATAGATAGAATCTCTTAATTTTATGAGATTGAAACACATGACTATTGCCATGCCACTCAGCCTAGACCAAAAAAATCTTTGAAGCATCCAACTGACATCCATTCATATTCAATTTGTATAATGATAGACATATTTACCAATTTAACATGGTTGAGCAATTTTAACATATTAAATCCCCAAAAATGTGATTTAACGATTTCTCATAAAAGTGTCATCCACAACAACAAACTGATAAAAATTAATTTCCAATATCCAATGCTCATAAGTTAATGATACTAGTATCATGCTTCTCAGGACTCAACAAATGTTTTCCGAAGGGTTATGCAAGATTGCCTGAAAAACAATCTAAACATGCATAAACCATGAGTTGGTTCTGAATGATGCATCATGATTTAGTTCAGATTCCTGGAATGCTAGTTTCTAAAACCTCAATTTGATTCGTAGTTTTAGGTTTTTACGTGTTTGGGTACCGATGCTTGGAGCAACTTGAAGTAATGTTAACATGAGGAATTGAAAAAGAAAAAAAAAAAACCCTAGAGCAAGTCTTCCAACTTTAGGCTTCGTTTGGTTATCCGGTACTTTTGTAAAAGGTATTTTTAAGAAACATCGGTTCAGAGAAAGAAGTTTTCTAATGGAGAAGCATATATAAAAAGCTTTTTTAAAACAACAGAAAAATGAAAAAAATGGTGTTATTGGGAACGTGGTTTGAGGAACCAAACAGTAAAGAAGAAATAAATTTACATTTTAAGAAAGGAAAAAGAAAAAAAAAAAACGTCCAATCAAACTAGACCTAAGTCATCTATTCTCCATATTCCAAACATAATTGTAGCTAAACTGAGGTATGACAATTGTTAAAGGTCCCTTATGGGTTATTCTTGATACATGGTTTTGTCACAGTCAGACTAACTATAAATACAACACCAATGTGTGTTAGTTTTCATCAAAACAAGTAGTTCAAATGGGTCTCATGGGGTAAAACATAATCATATTATTCTATCGATGGCTTTATCTTTCTTAAGAGTCAAAACGGTAGACATGGTGTAAAACCCGCAAAAATGCCGTTTTAGACTTCGCACGCTTTTCGATGCATCACAACGAGTTTTAAGTGAATTTTTCAAAGTCGTCGGAATTCGACGCAATAAATTTTATAAAATAGAGTGCAAAATTCTGAACCAAAAGGTGTATAGAACCCATATAGGATTTTAAGTATTTTGGGAGTTAAAATTTCTGGAAAACTCTTAATGACGACTTTGCCCTTGATATTATTTGAATAGAGGAGGGTTTAAGTGAGGGCATATATGTAATTATGCATTTATGAGAGCTTTTCCACTCTTCCCATTTCTTCATTTCGGCCGAACCGAGCGGAGAGAGGAAGGAGGGGCGTCGGGTAGGAGGCGTCTCCGGCGACCCGGGAGGCATTTTCCGGCGGCCGTTTGTGGAAGAGCTTGTAGGGAAATCTAAGAGAAGGCTAAGGTAAGTGTTTTGCTTGGGTTTTCTCTTATTTTCCATGAGTTTTCTCTAAGGAATGAGAGTTAGGGTTTTGAGAAAACTCAATATTTCTTTGAGATAAGTTTAGGGAATGGTAATATGATGTTTTTAAACCCTAATGTGAGTTGTTTTCATGAAAATGTGGATTTTAAAATTTAGAAAACCCAATGAATTGTTGTATGGTAACTTGAGTTTAAGGGGAAAGAGGATGGTTGTATCTTTGAGGTGAGCAAGGAATTGATTTAGGTTTTCCAAAAGCTAGAGTTAGGATGAAATCCTAATTCTAGTGAAAATAAAATGAAATTGATAGGGTTTGAGTGAGGGGTTTTATAGAAAATCAAAGCTTGGTGTATGAACTAGTTACATGCTTATAACCTAGGGCTTTTTAAAGGTTTGAGAGGGAGGAAACTTATGTTTACACCTTATGTTCGTCATTTGTAGATTTTGATTGCGTAAGAGGAAAGGGGCGTAAAGACTTTTGAAGGATCGCATTGTGGTGCACAAGTTGAGGTAGGTGAAATGGACATTCTTTTAAATTTAGAAAATTCTTATTTCATGCAATTACATTGAAATGTCATTTTTCCTTTTTATGCTCTTTATGGTATTATATTGACTAGCATGTTTCCTTATGAGCTTATGATCTCTTGATGCGAATGTAAAAGTTCTTTTTATGAAATTTTAGAACTCATGAACAATGTTTAAAATTGCGTATTCGGGTATTGAGGCGTTTTTCATTCGTGAGGCGAGGCGTAAGCCTCAAGGCGTTTTGAGGCGTAAGCCTCAAAATCAAAAGATTGCGTAAATATAAAATTATAAATTTTTTATATACTAATGATTGAATAATAAAAAATATAAAAAAGCATAAGATATGCAGTGAAATCAAAATATCTCAATAGTAAGACAACATGAAATATAGTTCAACTCAAAATTCTATCTTTCCCAAATTGCAGTATTCTTTTCATTAAAATATAATTCCAATTTTCAAAAATAAATAACAATGACATATCACATAAGAACTCATAAGTCATCAGCACTATCATCACTAAGGGGTTCTTCATTTGAATCATCATTATGGTGAACTGCTCTCTCCCCTTCCTTCTCTCCTATAGAGTCAAATGTCGGACATTTACTTCAAGATTTATAAGTTTTAATATATATAGCGTGAGTTGTAAGCCTCATGCCAGTGAGACGAGGCGGGCCTCAGGACGGGCCTCAACCAAGTTGAGGCGCAAGCCTCATAAAAAAAACTCGAGGCGTAAGCATCGAGGCGTTTTTTACTGGAATTGCGCAAAGGCGGGTCTCAAGGCGAGCCTCATATTGCGCAATTTTAAACCATGCTCATGAATGAATCTCATGCTACTTTTACATGAACTACACATGCTTTCTATTTACATGCAAATAAACTCATGAGCATAGCAAACACGTATACCCTTATGAAAACATACATTTGATTAGTTCATGAATAGTTTACATAAGCATCTCTTATGAATATGTAAGTATTAAGTGTATGTGCATGTTGACGCAGAAGTATCAAATGATAAAGAGCTCTTTTGAGCAATGGTAAAGAAGTCTCTTATGAGCTAAATGGTAAAGGAGGTTCTTTTGAACCAATGGTAAAGGAATGACCAATTTTATGTACCTGATCAGTACAAGTGATACTTTCGAGACGGGTGTTATATTTACATATTAAGATATTTAAGAACACTTCATATTTATGTTATATGCATTTAAGATTATCATTTGAGGTATGAATGTTTTAAAAAGAAGAATGAAAAAGTTATGAAAGCAATAAAAACTTAAAGATTGTAGTGAAGACATGAATCACCCTAAGCAATGTTGTATTATGTTGATTGTTCTTTTATTGAGGTTTTAATGCATATTGTAGTTTTCTTCCTTTGAGCCTAAATTTATTTGAATACCATTTACACCTATTGAGTTGTGACTCACTCATGTTGTGGGACACTTTTCAGGAGGATCTGGTAAATGATAGATGACGGATAGACCTCCCCTCACGTACTGTCGTAGGGAGACGACGGGTGACATGTTCTTTTTTTTGAGTTTTTGATATTTTGGTATAGATGGTTGTATAGGATAACTTTGATAGTTAGTTCTATTTTTAACACTTCCTTTTGTAATTGAATCTCCATGTATATGTTAACTTTAGTTTATGAATGAAATGAAAAATATTGTACTTGGAGTTCTTTAGTGGCTCTTTCATCAAGAATTGAGAATGCTTTGTATAGGTTTGGAGACATGTAAATAGAGAAATATGAAGTTTTTATTAATTCCTCCTGTTCGACTTTCGTTCCCGCCTCGCACTTGCGAGCTAACCGGTCTGGGTCGTGACACATGGCTTAAATGTTAAGTGTCGCGACCCGGCCTGGTAAGCTCGCATAGGCGAGGCGGGAATGAAAGTCGGACATTAGAATTTAAAAAACATTCACATTTCATAATCAACACATCTCCAAACATATAAAAATAGCTACTAAAATATTCCAAGTAAAATTTTTTTCTTTCTTTTCATCTATCATTCATTATATCAACTTAAATATAAAGGTTCAAAATATAAAAAGATGTCCATAAATCTTCCATTACAAGTCATCATGAATCCTTCTAATTCAAAATGTCAAAAACCAAAAAAGAAGGAACCTGTCGCCCATCGTCTTCCTACGACGGTACGTAAATGGTGGTCTATCTGCCATTATCGTTTATCAGGTTTTCATGAAAAATGTTCCATAAGTTGGGTGAGTCACAACTCAGTAGATAAAATGACATTCAATTAAATTTAGAGACAAGGAAAGAAGTACAACATGTATATACTTCTAAGTAAATAAACATTCAACATGCCATAATACATTATTTAAAGTGAAAATGCCTCCAAGTCGATCTTTATGTTCTCTTTCTTTGCATAAGCTTGCAATACTTTCTCATTAAACAATCATGACTCAATTGATGCCTCA